TTTGGAATTGTTCTTCCAATTTAACCCCTGAACAATATATTTTTTCAAAAAAAAAAAAAAACGATTTCAGTTTCAGTTCAAACAATAATATAAAATTAACGCAAAAATATTGTTTTTTAGTTAAAAAATTATAGAAAAAATGCTTTTTTTTGCATAAAGAACCATAATGCTTGGTTGACTAACATTAGTTTACAATAAATTCTCACAGCAGTTACATGGTGACATCAAACGAGGGTGTAGATTCATGTGTCCTACCAAGTGAAAAAAGCCAATAAAATTATTTTCATGTCATAGCGTGAGCATTTTGTTGTCAACAAAGATTGTCATGGTTCAATTTTGATAATAATAATAATAATAATAATAAAAGGGCTCCTTGTCTTGCGGTGTGGACTGTACCAAACTGCAAAAATAGTGCCTTTGGATGGGAGAGGACGTCCCAATATCAGGAGGCCCTCCCCCAATCCAAGGATAACTGTTTTACAGTCCATTACAGTCCAGACTGCAAAACAATTCTTGAATAATAAAAATAACTTGTTTATTTACATAAGCTAATTTGATTAAATAATCAAAATGCCGACAGTAGGTGCTGGGTTCAAATCTATACACACACTCAAATGGAAGCTAATTTGTCACATAAAGATACACAAGTTGACCTTAGTATCCAAGGCTGCCTCTCATTCGAATCTAGGAACTAAAACCAACAGATGCATATGACCATCTCCTCTTCATATTCAAATTAGAATGCCAGGTATGTTGATGATTTTCAGTACACAAGGTCTGTTTGAAGCTTTAATTTGTTTCATTACCATCTTGGATCACTTTGTACTCTGTAGGATATATATGCATGGAGATGTCCCTATGGTGTTCGATTATTTGTTTCTGTCTTTAAAATTTCTTTGTATCATTCTTGTGTTCAGTTTGTGGCATAATATGCATAGAAATATCCATTAGGTGTCTAGTGCCTAAGAATCCTTTGTCATTCTTTTCCATAAATGCCTATATGTTGTTCAATGATTTGTTTTAGTCATCAAGCATTTAGTTGGTTTCTGAATTTGCTTCCATTTTTAAGCAGCCATGTTTCCCCCTGATTCTGGTTCGGGTGATTCTGGTTCAGGGCAACCTGTTCCTGGTAAAAAATTAACTGTTCAAGAGATAATCAAGAAGATACAAAACCTGAATGATCGTCTCTCCAATGCCAAAAGGGATGATGGCGATCAGAATAACAACAGCCATGTTAATGTAGGTGGAAACAGCATCACCACAGCAATAGATGGCCATCCAGTGGCAGAGGAGAATGTTGCTACTGATCCTGCCAGAAAGGAAAAAAAGGAGGAGAAAAAGGATGATCACAAGGATGAGAACAGCAAAAAGGGACAGTCTGATCATCAGAAGGAGAAGGGTGATTTGGAGAAGGTGAAGGGTGAATTGGAAAAGTTATGCAAAGAACTCGAGTTCATGAAACTTGCATTCCAGAAACTCAAAAAATTTGAAGATGATTTGACAAAACCATTCCAGACTCTTGAAAAGAATGTTGTTGACATTGAAAAAGATCTACGATCAGGCCGAAATAGATACTCAAAGCAGGTTCAGAGCAATCTTCGCGTGCTGAGGAACAACATCACAAAAATCAAGATCCAGATTCCATTGCAGCACCACACTACTCAGACAAATTCTGAATCTCGTGGTTACAAGGAGACAGTTGCCAGCAAAGAGCACGATGACCTGCCCAACCTGAATCATAACGAGTCAAAACTTAAGCAGAGTGCCTACTGTAAAGAACTTATTCAAAAATATGAGAAATGTCTTGATGACAGGCACAAGTTATGCTTGCTATCATTTGCAGTTTTCCCGGAAAATGCAGAGGTTAAGGAGAGGCTTCTAAGGTATTGGTGGGTTGGAGAAGATATAATACCACCAGATGGGAGGGAAAAGAAATTCACAAATGAAACTTTAAAGACATTTGTGGAGATGAAGTTCATTGAGCCTGTTAACAAGAAAAATAAATTAAGCCCAAGAAGCTACAGGATGTACCCAATTGTTCGTTCTGCCTTGATTATTAAGGCTGGAGAGGAACGGTTCTTCGATTATGATGACGATGGGAACCCTACAATGGATTTTTTAAAGTGTTACAAGGCATGCTTGGTAAAGGCTGAAGAAGAATCTTCTAGAATATCGAAGCATTTTAGCAAGAATGAGGAGGAGCTGGGAAAATTGGAAACGTTGTTCAATGTCAGTGAGCAGTTTCCTGATTTCAAAGAGGAGTGGTTCTCCAAGATGAAAAGGGTCAGGGTTCTTTATCTGGGAAGATGGGAGAGCTCAACTGATCGGCACATTGAAGTGGAAAGCACCGTCTGCTTTAAAGGGTTGAGTAAGATGAAGAATTTGAGGTTCCTTAGTCTTCAAGGAATCTCAGGAATCAAAACTCTGCCCAATTCTCTTTGCCAGGCAGCTAAATTGAGCATCTTAGATCTCAGGGCATGTCACAATTTGGAGGAACTTCCGGACAACATAGGATCATTGAAGAAGCTGACTCTTTTGGATATATCTGAGTGCTATTTGTTAGATCAAATGCCCAAAGAACTGTCCTCTCTTTCAGAACTCAAAATCTTCAAGGGGTTTGTGATTAGTGATCATGAAAAGACCTGTTCTCTTGAGGAATTGGCAGCACTAAAGAAGCTCGAGAAACTGAGCATCAACATAATAGACAAAGACTATCTTCCCGGAGAACTGGGCTATGCCATCCCTAATTTTGAAAAGCTTAAGAAGCTTAAAATAGCATGGGGAGGGGCAACATTGACAGCTGGAGCAGGAGAAGAATCTAAGGAATTGAGTAGCAAAGAGAAAGAAACAGACAATGAGAAAAGGCAGAAAAGTGGTAAAAAATCTGTGAGGCGCACAACCACACTGGCTAAGCAGAAACCTGGGAATGTAGCGAAAATTGTGAAACTGGAACTCCAATGTTACCCGGAAACAACACCACCCTCTTGGTTAGCGCCTAAGTCTGAGTTTCTTGATTGCCTAGAGAAACTCTATATTAAAGGTGGAAGACTCCATAACCTTCCAGAGATAGTGCCTGAGACTGAGACTAAGTGGAAGGCAAAGATCTTACGTTTGAAGTACTTGAGTGATTTAAAAACTGACTGGAAAGAACTGCAGGAAATGTTTCCCGATTTGGAGTATTTGGAGAGAGTCAGATGCCCTAAAGTCATGTTCTGCCCCTGTGACGGGGATGGATGGTGCCAGTTGACTCCACTCCTGAAAGATGGAGTTGAAAGCTAATCCGTTGTTTGTTCTTGTCATCGGAACTAAGTTTCTGTGGATTTCTGTGCTTTTATTATTCATGTTTGCATTTGAGTTGATTGTAATGTTGAACCTTTAATGTGTGAGTGACGGTTGTGATATTTCCTTTGTTCAATATTTTTTAATATGCAAGTTCTTCTCATAATGTTGTTGGCTCTCACCCTCTAATAATTTTGACTTTTTGAGACTTCTTACTCCAAGACTGAATAAGAATTACTCTCTTCGAAAAAGCCAGCGGCAGATAGAAGCAGGGACAGAGATGGAGATTCGAGTAGAATTCTACCCAAGTCATCTCTTTGTTTTGTTTTATTAAGAATAGGAATTTTTCATGCTTAATAGACTAGCCCAATTAGTTGGGCTTGGGATTGTTCTCTCTTCAGATTCAACTTATAAATTAAAGGTGTCTTGATGATTTTAAGTGCACAAGGTGTTTGATGCTTTGCTTCGTTTCTTGGAGCACTTTGTGTGATATGCAGAGATGTCTAAAGTTGTTTGATGATATGTTTGTGGCATACGCATGGAAATGCCTATTAGATGTTTGATGCTTTGTTTCAGTCTCCAAGAATCGTTTAGTTCAGTCTTGTCCATAAACGCCTAGAAGATGCTCGATGATTTGTCTCCGTCAATTAAACTTTCATTCGGGATCTGAATTTGCTGCCTCATATGAATGGTTGATATTTAAGATGACAGTGATCTCTTTTGCAATAAAATATAAATTATCTAAAAACCTTAAGTAATACAAGTATCCTTATTTACAATCTTGTATTAAATTGCAAAACAAAAAGTGTTAAATAAGAATAGCCCCAAATATCAAGAACATGCTTTTCAATTTAAATTCAGTGTAGTCTAAATTACACAACATTCTTTTTGTAGTTATAAATTTATAATCATCTCTTCTAAATTATTTTTCAGCTCATGTTAATGTTAAGATAAGGCAACATGCATTTTCACGCCTCACATCAATAGTTGACATATGAGGTGCCTATCTCTCTTTTTCAATTAATTAAACAACATTCTTCTGTTATGATGTGTGATTTTCTTGACTTTTTCAATTATAGGTGAAACAGCGCTAAACTTTGCTGGATTTTGAATGAAGTTGATGTGGCAACCATCATAAAGCTCCCTGCTTGGAATGGTGAATTTTCTGGGAGGATATCTTATCATGTGGTTTCGTAGGAATGATTTTGGTCTCTATCCAGCCTCTAACATGGATCAGGTTAGTCAAATTTTCTCCTTCTTCCATAAGCCTTCCCGGAAACTTAATAGTTCTCCAAAAATTAATTTGTTCCTGTGGAGGACTGTGTCTGAAGCACAACCTGTCACCTAACTATTTGGATGGGGTATTGTGGATAATTGTATTTGTTATTTGTGTAAAGCAAAGGAAGAAACTATAATGCACAAGTTGTTTACTTGCCCATATGCTGCCACAACTGCCAAAGTGTGGTTCTTGTCCAGATTGGGTTACCAGCCCCTTCTTTCTACTGTTTATGATTTTGAGCATAATTAATAGGCGATGCGGTAAGGCTTCCGTGGGAGGAATGTCATAGGGCATGCTTGGTAAAAGCTGAAGAAGGATCTTCTAGATCAATATCAAAACAATTTAATGAGAACAAGGAAAATCTGGAAAAACTGGATTCATTGTTCAATGCCAGTGAGCAGTTACCTGATTTCAAAGAGGAGTGGTTCTCTAAGATGAAAA